CCTAATTGATAAAGTTAGAATAAAGTAAGAATGATTTAGAGTCACATAAGCTTTAAAACGGGACAATTTAAGTGAGACTTTCCGAAGAGGTAAAACGAGACAATATAAATGAGACGAAATATTTGATAACTTGATTGGGTAGCAGGATAGCTGGATTGCCTGGATAAGGGAAAACATTGGGGTTTGGGCTTCGCTGATCTTCTCTACCAGTCTACCGTACACAGCAAGGCAAGAAAGCAGACGTTTTCTGACAACTAGGAAGCGTATATGAGGATTAAGAATGAGAAGAAACCATCTTCCTCGGCAACTTCACCGTGCGCCAGTCTCAGAGAAGCTTACCACAATTGCTTCAACAGGTCGGTGCTTCCATTTCGATCTGTGGCTCCTATTTCGCAAGTAGATACACAAAAAAGAGACCTTTTACTTTTAATTTGCTAGGTTCATCGATATTCAACTAGTCATTTCATGGTTCATCGAAAACATTTAAGATATCAATCCTGCTTTTTTCATAAACCCTAAACCCTGAAGTTGGGCGGGAGTTGATGGTTGGCATTATTTCCTATAGGTGGTATTCTGACAAGTTCTTGAAGGGTCAGTGGGATAAAGAGGAGTGTGTTTCAGAGTGGCAGAAATATAGAGACTGTCTCTCTGTAAGCTATTTTCCCTTCAAAGCTTCAATCACCAGCTTAGGACTGAAGTATGAGCAATTTCTATTATTTTATTATATTCAGTGAAGTATGTGGTTGCTGATTAATTTCAGCAACATTTGGATGACAAAATTTTGAGTCGATTCTTGGAAGCCGAAGGAACTTTTAATCTGGGCGATCAAACTGAGTTTAATAGCACCGAGGCAGATCATAGATGATTGCAAGAGGATAACTTTTGGAAACATTGCAAGAAAGGTGAATCTCTAAATAGATTGGCTTATTTCTTTTGTAGCATACATTTGGATGTGATAAACTTGGGGCGGACAGATCTAAGTTGCATGTGGTAAAAATGTTTGGTGTGAGAATCATTCCAAGTTCCAAAATATAGCTGGAGGAAATTTGTTCTTGAAGGAACTTTTCAGTTTTGTATATATCACTTACAAATTTGGTTGTGATAACTGATAAGTATTAAAGTACTTCTATTGTAAACATACTCTGCAATCTGCATTTAATGATGCATAGTCTATATGCAGTGAAACATTTTTAATACCATTACGTTTGGGTTTTCTTTATGTATAGTGTGATTTTGAGACAGGGCGCGGGTCTGATGGGATTGGGATTCTATACCTGACACCATACAACTGTTTAGAAGTTGAAATACTAGGGCATTTTTTTTTACTGCCCTTAAAATATGCTTGTTCAATCATCTTCAAGCAAAGAAAAAGGAACTAATAAACATCTTGGGCATTCTATTTGTCCCCAACAATTTCCGTTGCTATACTAATCCTTTCATCTCTTCTCCATATTTTATTTTCATTGTCATCACACATGTATATTCATATTTGGACATTTGGTTGCCCCTCTTTAGTTTTAATCATGTATGCATTCCTTAATTTTAAAAATATCATCATGAAATCATAATGAAGCCATTGTTCTGTCATAATCAGATTTCCCTTTGTTAGGGCATCTCCAATGAAGGGGTCAATTGGGGTTCCCACTCAGCCAGTGCACTTTGTTTTACAAAATCTACTCTCCAATGCTAATGTAAATGGACTTCTAAAATATGCTGTGGCAATATATAAGGCCCAGCACTGGGTCTACTTCCAGACCCTCGGTGCCACTTCTCACAGCAAAAAAATCCTTTTGCTTTAAAATTCCTTTTGCAAAAAGAAAATTCCTTTTGCCAATTGTGGTTTGAAGAAGACAAATCAGGAGAAGAAAGAAATGGCGTCGAACGCGGTGGTACCCTTCAGGAGAGCAGCCAGAATGACTTACATAACTTACTCCAATCTGTGCGCCAACATGGTGAGGAACTTCTTTAAGGAACCCTACAGATTCGAAGCCCTAACGGCCTGTTTGGATTGAGTGTTAGTAAAGTAAGTGTTGAGAAGGGTTGAAATTAACACTTGTTTGGGAGAGATTTTTTTTAAAAGGGAAGTGTTGGTAACGGTTATAAAGTGTTAATCATTACCTCCTCAACACCTCAATTGCCCACTTTTTTAACACTCCAATTTGGAGTGTTTTGAAGTGTTGACCATTATTACCCTTCTCCATTACATATCCGCCCACTTCAAATGATCGACTCTGTTGATCTGCTCGAAGGTTCTCAAGCCTGCTATAAAACAATATCATGTCAACTCATTTCCTCATCCAATTGTTCTAAGTTCTCTCATATCCGTTCTGCTATATACGTTCCCAATGGTCATCTGAGAACGTATTTTCATACATCATATAAAAACTCATATCTCATCATGTATATACATTTTATCCGTCTTATACATCATATAAAAACTCATAACTGTATTAGTTGCCTACTTCTGGGAACAAAGGGAAAACAACGTGCAATATATAGATATATGTACATATATAGAGATATATACGAAGTATATAATTTGCTTTTGGAAAAAAAATAGCCACATAATTGGAATTAAAGTTTCGTTAATCAATTAGCTTTAATTAGGAAAAAAAATTAACTTTACATAGGATTCTTAAGTTGCCGAAATTAGTTGTCAAATTAACTTAATACTATCGGGCTGGGTATAAACTAACAATTTAAAATGTGTAAGGATATTTTTGTAATTTGAAGTGAAAACACTTCCTTTACCCACACTCGATTTTGTAGCTCTTCCAAACAAGGTTAATTTATACTTAACACTTACACTTACCATCCCTTCCGGGCTCTTGCCAACACTTATTAACACTTCCATTACTAACACCCTTCAACACTCCATCCAAACAGGCCCTAAGCCGTGAGAAGGTCCATTTCTCCATCTCCAAATGGGCAGATGGAAAGCCCCAGAAGCCCACCATTCATTCAGATACACCTGAATGAGGCTGATCACATCACTTATGGCTGTGTTTGGGATCGTTTGCACTGCCATGTAACCCTTCACCATGTTTGGAGCACCTTTTTAATAAATAGAAGGCTGCAGAAACGGTAGAACTTCAAATTCAGTCAACATGTTGCATATCTGCAATTTCTCCTCACTCGGATTTGTTGACAGATACTGTTCTTTTGATGTTAATTAATGGTATTGTCATTTCAACAAAAAAAATGTAGCTTTCTTTTTCTCTTTCATCAATTATTCTTTTTCTATTTATTTCCCACTTCCGCATTGGAGTGTCTACCAAATAAATTCTTCTGCTGATATTCTGTCTAGACCTTCTCCATTTCTTTGCCACATAAGCAACAGTGCATGATGAGCATTGGAGATGCTCTTAGTGTGCGACTTTTTTTTGGATCTTCACTTTGACAGAAAACTTATTGACTGATAGTGGCTATATCATAGCACGTTGGATTTTTGGAATTGTGCTGCTTAAGCCGTAGACTTGCTACCACAAGAAAACAAATTATTTTATGAATGAAATATTAAGGCAGACTGGTTATAATTTATTTTTTACTTTCTTTCCAGGTTGGCTGCAGCCAGCATGCACTCCATCCAGTTCTCATCAGCTTCTGGACTGTACATATTCATTTGAGCATTTCGGAGTTTAATATGTTCAAATGCTTCTGCTGTTGCATCTATCAACAGCTCGCTATAGCCTATAGGCCCTAATCAGGGAGTACAGTTATCATGTATGACACTCTAAGCACGAAGACTGCAGCTTTTACAAAAAGAAATAAAAGCATTCGTTTCTTTATTTGTACTAACGTCATAATCTTCTAGAACTAGAATACATTCAATGAATATGGATGGAAAATATTGTGGGGATGATTGATCTTATTTTTTTTGCTTTCCAATATTATATGTTATTCATGTTAACCGACCCCAAACTCTTGTGAGAATAAGGCTTGAGTATTGTTGTTGTATCGAATGAAGGTGTAAATAAGTAAGATACAATACTATACTATGTCAAACGTCTTAGACTCCCTCCATTCCTTTCTTATCCCCGCTTTTGATTTGACGCAACTTTAAAGAAATAGAGATTTTGTAGTTTGAATTTGTGAAAAAGAGTGAGAAAAAACATTAACCATATGATCCTGTATTTAAAAGTAAAGAGAAGATTAGGGCTGGACTCGGGCCGGTTCGGGCCCGGTTCGGGCCTGGGCCCGGCCGGGCCTCGGGCCAGGAAAGGGGAGGCCCGAGCCCGAACCGCCGGTGGCCGGTTCCGGTTCCGGTTCCGGGCCAAACCGGGCCGGGCCGGGCCGAACCGGCCCAATTAATTTTTTTTTTTGTTCTCCTATTTAATCCCCTACCCCTCCCCCTCAACCCCAAACCATCCCAAACCACCTCAAATGGCCCAAAATACCTAATCCAACCTAAAACTTAAAAAAATTTCAAAAAAAAAAAAAAAAAAATTAAAATCCGGCCCGGACCGGTTCGCCAAAACCTGGGCCCGAGCCCGGACCGCCCAGCACCCGGGCCGGGCCAAACCGAACCGGTGGACCCACCGGGCCACGGGCCGGGCCGGGCCAAACAGTGACCGGGCCGGTTCGGTCCCGGGTCGGGCCGGTTCGGTCCCGGGTCGGGCCGTCCGGCCCGAGTCCAGCCCTAGAGAAGATGGTTTATGGATGGATGAAAAAAGGAAAGCAAAAGAACAGGGGGAGCACTTTTATCGTTTTTGTTTTTACCTTTGAGTAGGGTAGTTCAATTAGTTTTTTCTAGTGGCACAACTTTGCACTTGTTGTGGAAGCATGATTACAGGGGAATCATGATATCACTAGCCAAGTGATACCATTAGTAGGCCTTATGGTATTCTGAAACATGATAGTATGAAAGTATGAAACCATACTGTAGTACTGTACCTCAAAGCTTGTTTTTACTGGAACAAGATAAAATTCACAATAAATCAATAATTTATCTGGATTATCTGTATGAGCAGTTAGTGGGAAAATATGTTAGGGGTGTGGATGGGAGATGAAGCACCTCTATTTATACTAGTCCGAAAAGTCTCGGCAGCCCATTATTAGAGTAACCCTAAACATATTACAATATTTCTATTAGGAATGGTAACAAAATTATAATTCTCATACATATAGGAAACTAATAATAATAAAATAATAATACTAATATTAATTACAATAAACCAATATCATTATCTGTAAAAAATTAATAAACAATAAACCAATATAATAACGACAACAACAACAATCGCATAGGCACCACACCAGAAGAGTAACACCCAATAAAGTAAAGTGGCAGTCTGGCAGATATCCAGGAGGATTGTTAGAGTGCTGTAGGTCTCTTTCTGACGGCATGGAAATCAACTGTCAATTATTTTTGGACGCCTTCATTGAACTTCCATGATTGTTTAGCCCAAACTTGTACGTAGTATGATTTTCTATGTTCTGATATTTCTTGAATCAATGTTGATGACTGGAAGGTCTTAGTGTCCAATACAAATCTCATCAACTAATAGCAGTCATCTATATCAACTGACTTTAGTAGTAAAGAACTTTTGGTTAGGTACTATATGCTATAGGTTGTTTCTGGTTTGACCTTACTGACTAGTGATCATTTTCTCTCCGAATAATGCCGAGTTCCCATCCAGTTTCATTACAACAATGCCAAAAACTGCGGAAAGTTTTATTTAGAGGGAAAAGAATGGCAATTTTTAATGTGATTTTTATCACTGTGGATGGGAACGTGGCATCAGCGAGTTTCTCCGTGGTTGTGATGAAGACGGGTGACCTTCATGGTTATGGGTACCCTCGTAGGTTGTTATGACATAACGTTCATCTTCTTTCGCCCTTTCAATTCTCTTCTTCACATGACATCCAATTGCAGAGCACTTGTAGTAATTCCTGTTTTAAAAACAACATAATCACATCTGATGTCTGAACAATAATATTCCCCCCTGGGTAATATTATATCATTAAAAATGGACGTACCATTTGGTCCTTTCCTGTAATAAAGAATCTTTTAGTTTATCCAGCATTTTCAAATGGAGTTGATCAGTTCATGTATAACTTAGGAGGTGACTTTGCACATAATTTACCAAAAAAATCATTTTCAATAGAAATATCCGTTTACTTTTTTACTTTTACAGCCCATCTATCATGTTGATCGCTTCACTCCTAGCCAACATATACAATGCACTTCCAATACCTAGATGCCTAGAAAATGCAGACAAAGGTTGAAAAAAAGGCATAAGAAAAGGTAGCTAGTTATATCAGGTCTTGTGTTTTGGGACTCCGGGGAAAAACGGAAAAATGTTTTTTTTTTTAAATTGACAGAGATAGAAATTATTTCTGTATTGCTCTTTATATTTAGTGTTGATAGTATATTATGTTGAGCTCTACTGGAAGAGAGGTAGGACTGAAAGACAGTTTCGATCAGGTTACACAGTTTTGTTGATTTAAAAAACATACTAGTCCCACATTTGCTATCATAAATCATTGTACCTTGGATTGGGACTGCTCCTCACCATCTTCTTGCCATATTTCCTCCACTTGTAGCCATCATCAAGTACTTCAACATCTGACTTTGTTTTGAATACAAACTTTTCTATGCCTCCCATGTTGTTTCCACCATCTAAAACCAAGATGCAGAGAGAGAAAAAGTTGGATGAACATAAAGAGTTTCTCCTTTAATATAAATATAAGGACACAATTTTTTGTAAGACCTTGGACTACTCTTATGGATTTTCATGACGCAATCATAAGTTTTAATATCAAAGCCTCTTAATTTCATTGGTCCCCCATCCCGTTAACCTCACACTCATAGATTGGTACATTCGAACGAGTCACCATTTTATATTACGAGCGAGTCCCAACATTTTACATGGACATGCAGTTAAGTCCGAACTTTGGCTACTCCTATCAGGTTGAACTTCTACTCGAGAGTGGTGGATGAGTTCATCTTTCTTACCATTCCTAGGCCCGTCCTGGGAGGTGCTAACTCCCCCCTCAGAAGGAGAACCCTCGTTCATCGCTTGAAGGAGACTCGGGTGAGGATGGTCGGTGATCATCTGAGAGAGGGGCTCTACCTCACACCAGTCATCTAACTCGAGGAAATCGGAGCACTCAAACGTATCCATGGCGGACTCCATTGATGATGAGAAGCTCCAGTAAGGCGAGGTCTCGTTCGGGTGATTCCCAGCCATGGGATTCCTGTGGCTCACTTGTGCCAAATGTACACATATATGCTGGCTGCTTGGAGTCATCCCATGATGGGTCTTTCGTTGTAAACTTCCTGGGAAGATGGAGGAAACTTCTCAGGGAGACTGGTGTAGAGCCGCCGGAAGGACGGAGTGGACTTTCATGCTTGACTGGTTTATGTAACAATGGAGTTCACAGAATGTGGTGGGACATTGTTAGGAAGACTTGTGCGCAGACTTCACTAGTTTTGGTTCCGTGTTTGAATGCTCTTCTACCTTTTGTACGTTTAGCTGGGTAATTAAACAACTCCGGCCTAGTTACAGTCGAGAACTTTTAGCTACTTGAGAATCTACAGTTACAATCAGGATTTTTTTCATCTCAACTGGTAAATTGGTAATCTAGTTATGAACCACTATGGCACTATAGAACCCTACAGAAAAACCCATAATCCATTATCCTTATGCTTCCAAGGTTTTCGCTTTAAGAAAAAAGTGACCATTATTGTTTCAGAATCAAATTTCAGGGTGGTCGGTTCACCCTCAATTAAGGATTTTTTTTTGTTCATCTGGTTTCACTCCGATCAGATTTAAACAGGTCAGATTACATTAGCTCAAACTTAAATAGACATATTTGATCAAATTTGGATAGTGGTAAAATAGTTATAGATCAGATATCTACCAGATCAGAAAATTTCAGACCAGAACCGACCAGATTAGATTAAGCAGACCAGACTATAAAATTTCAATCCAAGTAAAAATCTCCTAAGAATGTTATTAATCAGCCTGGTTTCAACACCTCACCAAATCAGACCAGATCACATTTAAATATACGAGATCAGACCAAATTTGAACAACGATAAAGCAGACATAAAAGTAATAGACATATGGAGTATAATTACCAGATTAGATCAACCCACAAAATTCCGGTCAAATTAAAAACATCCTAATGGTTATTATATCTCAATTTAAATCTCTTATCAAAATGAAGGCTCATAAAAATGAGGGTAACTTTTTTTCTTTCAAATTTCATGGAGATGATCATAAATGAAGTATTGTAAGTTTCACATGTCCAATAAAAATAAAAATAAAAGATAATGAGAAATAAATAATTTTCACTGTTTTCATAGAATACATATTTTTTAATCTTTTTACCAGTATACACAGAGAACAAGATTTCAAAATGAATTTGTAAACTTAAAATCTCTCCATTTCCTTTTCTTTTTGAATTGTTTCATAAAGGTAATGTTCCCTTCAATTTTTAATAAATGATCCTACATAGCATTAATACTTTATACTTCATTTTACATAAATTTTCAATTTTTTCATTACAGCTTTATTTATTTTTCATCACTACTGCAACAGGAGAGAGTAGTTTATCTATTTATCTCATTTCCTTAATTTATCAGGCCAAAGAGTTGATGGCGTCACTTTAGTAAAATACTACATGCCGAGTGTAAAACAAGGAAAAGGGTTGATTTCATTCAAATAAATGTTTGCATTTCGTTTAAAAAGTGAACATACATGTCTTGGTTAGCATAATATCATTTCTATCAAAACAAGTTTAATTACAAAATTTACAATTCCCTGAAAATTATGTACATAAATAACCGATTTAAAGTAAACAACGTGTTTATAATATGTGAAAATAGGTAATCACGCATTAGCGCAGCATGATTAAACAAATGTGTATATAATTAATTGCAAGTTACATTTTTTGTTAATATCTCATCCCAGTTGCGGCAAAGTAATTTTGAGCTCTGAAAAAACAACTCAGAATCTTGAGATAAGTAAATCTGAGTCGATTGAATAATCCACTGTGTTCGTTGTTCACACCCACTCGTGCAACAACACACACAAGAAATTAGCGTAGTTAACTTATTGATTCATGTGTTCTTAGGTTTCCAACACCTTCCCTAGGTGAATGCCATAAATTGGTTAAACATCTTCATATTCTTAACTAAAAGCTAACTTTTGCATTTCTGCTCAAGGCGAGACAAAACATTGATTGTTCGACTACTCAAGCTAACTATTGAGGACTAAATGACCCGCATGAGAGGATCTTAAGTGTGGATGTGATCCACATGAACCAGTCCTAGTTTTTAATTGCAAATTACATGTATAAAGAGTTGGTGGAGGTCGTGGGACAAGTGACCCTTGGCCCTAGATTCGTAAAAGATTAAAATAAATCTAAATGATTCAAGGCTAATTATATAGCTGGGAGGTTATAATTGAAAGCAAGTGATTTGAGCAAATTACATTGTAATGATCATATTCCCTTAATCTCATTGGAGATTTGGAGTTTGTTAAATTTGACCAAAACAAGAAGCAAGATCATATAAATTATATGTTTGAAATTTGCCCTGAAAAAGAAAAAGAAAAAGTTACACATCACAAATTAGCTACTTTAAAAGCAAAATGATAACTTTAAAAGAAGAACACTCCCTTTGACATGTTGGAGTGTCACATTTGTGTACTCATGAAATATCAAAGTAAAATTGTTTGATTAATATATGTGCAAATGTGCACGGGAAGAATAAATAACTTGAGCCCCATTTGAAAGGTAAGTTGCAAAGTTTATGAAATAATCGAAAATGAAGAATTGAATTTTTTTTAGGAGAATGTAGAGTTGATTTCAAAGTGGAGTGAGACAAAGACAATAATAAATGGATTTATTTTTAGTACCATCACACAAATTGCAATATTGTACATTTGTTTGTGATAGTAAGTACAATCACGAATGAATCATACAATATAATTACATGTATATTTACAAACTATGAAATGATTATAGTTTACATTTCACCTAAGTATGACTATAACTTCTAATAACATTTTTATTTTTATTTAAACAACCTTTCAAAGAATCGATTTTTGCCACAAAAACAAATGCACATATATATACAAATCAACCAAAGAATGCTTCAGAAATGTTGGCGAGCTGTTGCTGAAGCTCTAGGATTTCAACATGAGCACGGTTCCTCTCTTCGGCGTCGTTCGCAGATAAGCTCTTCGATTTGTTCACTATTTTCCTTTGGATGCTTCTCACCTTTCTGTAAGGCCAACGCACCAACCCATCTCTCCTACATATCTTCTTCATCACTGTAGGGCAAATGTTCATTCTCCTTGCTGCTTCTTCTATGGGGAGATGAAGGTACCCTGCAAAGTCTTTTAACTTCAACTTTCCAGTTCTTTCTCTCTGAGCAGAAAGAGGGATCTTTTGGGATTTATTCTCATCCTCAGGTGCATTGTTTTGGTTTGATATGTCTGGTTGATTCATCGGTTGGTCACCACCTGTTTTTCAAGAATTAAAATGTCAGTAATATTACTAGAGTCACAATTAAGTGCTTGTATGTTGGTTTTTATTTACTTATCAGTTTTATGATCCATTCACTAATAATGTTAAATATGCTATTTCGACTAACTTGTTTATAAAATGTGTATTTTCATACAATAAACTCATACTCCGTATTTTAATAGATTATTCTATTGTAACAAAATGCAAAGCAGTTTTAGTCTGACTAGAAAGTTTTTGCCTAACTAATGAGTTAAATGATACTACAATAACATATGGTTTGTCTTATGTCCCAAACTTTTCACTAAATCCACTGTACCTCTCTTCACTAAAACATAAAAAAGTTAAATTATAAATCGGGACATAAACTCATCTGAATAAAATTTAGTCCGAATAATATGCACTATAGTTTTACTTTTGAAATTGTTTTTCCTAAGTGAAAAATAATTCAAATACCCCAAAATTTGAAGGGGTGTGAGGTAAGCATCCCAAACATGCATATGTAATTTTAATACCCCATACTTTACATAAAAGGTTATTTTAGCACCATGATCATGTATTATTTATTTCAAAATTGTTCATTTTTTAAGTTAATTTCATAATATAAAACATTGTAGCATTCATGAAGATACAATTAACATTTTAAACTTCCATTGTTAAATAAAAAAATACTACCCCCACTCTATATAATTGCAAATTTTTTAATTTGCTTATGCAATTAACACCATAAACTTACATTTTTTAAAGAAATAATATATGACAATGATGCTAAAATAACTTTTTATATAAAGTTGAGGTATTTGAATTATTTTTAATTCAAAGTTTGGGACATTTAATTATTTTTCCCTTTTCCTAATCATATTAAATTGAGTTGCACTGACATCGGATAAACCAAATTAAATAAAAAGTGTATAATGCAATGTTACAAAGTTTTTTAAAAACTAACAAATTCAAGCTAGAACTAAATCGAGCTCATATATAATTTGGCTGAATTTAGTGATAATTCTTTTAACTTGTTTTAGGTCACATTGGACCGAAGCCCGAAATTCAGATAACAGAATAGAAAACCTAAATGTAACCCTTAAAAATACATACATTAATAGATGTGAGCACCTGAAGTTGAAGGAGGTAGTTCGAAAAAGGAGTCAATGTCTAAAAAATCAGTCCCTCCTCCCAAACCAACACTCATAGCATCATAGAACTCCCATAACGGGTCTTGAAGCACAATGTATCCCTCTTGCTTACGATCCTCGAAATACCTCACCAAAAATTGCTTCACTGTATCTGTACTTTCCTTGTAAAAGCTGCAACACCCCGACACAAAAAAGCCAATGTTACATTACGAGCCCGTTTGGTAGCACCAAAATCGGCTGTTTTGGCTGATTCTGCTGAAATTTATGATATTCTGGCTGGAGTGGCTGTTTTGGCTGATTCTGCTGATTTAAGAAAAAAATATTTTAAAAATATATTTTATTAATAAATTAAAGAAAAAATTATATATAAAAATAGTTAAAATGGTCCTCTACAGTAACTTCAGCCAATACAGCCAGAAAAGTAACTCCAACCTTACTTTTTCGGCTTATTACACAATTCAGCGCGCAAAAGTAAAAGTTACGTGTTTGGTGAAAAAGCTGGCTGATAAGCCTGATAAGCCGAAAACAGAGTTCTCCAAACGGGCTCTACAACTATTGATATCTCGAAAAAGTTAATATGCAAGTAAAAAAGAATTGAAAGCTCTAAAAATAAGAAATAGAAAATAAAAAATTGCTTTTAATTCACTTATAGTTTCTAAAAGGAACGAGCGTTGCAACACTTTCAGAAAAGAAATCAATGAATTATTTGGAAGTGAGAGTAAAAATGTTTTGAAATTCTAAAATCTGACTGACATGTTTTTATTTCCTAAATCAAAGTAATTACTGTCAAACTTTGAAAATATGTCATGTTTAAAGTCTGATAATACAAATATAACAGTTCTATTTTCAAATCCATAAATGTTTTTACTCCTATTTAGTGCAATTTTTGTAAAGAGTAAACATATGTGAGGGAGTAAAAATCACAGGAGACCATGTGCGAAGTTAGGAGGCTATGCAAAGCCTCGACAAATGAAACTCTTTAAATCCTCCAGTATAGGCAACAAATTTTGTTTAATATAAGTAATTTAT